ACGCCCAAGTCGGGCGCCGATTTCCTGAACAGACGCCCTAATTGTGCGTCCGTTCAGGCATCCGACGCCCGACTTGGGCGTTCGTGCATTATGTCCGAAATTTTTCAAAGCCCTACAAATCGATTTGTAGGGCTTTTAAACATGAAATTGGTTGCAAAATCGAGTTACCCATTGCATATAACACATGTAGGTGTTGAAATTACCTGAAAAAATCGAAGCCCAAGCCCTGAAATTGGTTGAATTTGATGTTTTTCGAAAAAAAAAAAAAATTCTGAAAATTTTGGAATGGGGTGGTTTTGGAGAGATTTTCGAATTTTAGGGGTTTTAGAGAGATAAACTGTTTTTTGCTTTGAACGGTAAATAGCAATAGTTAAACCGTAAAGAGCATTTTCTTTTTAATACTAGGGACTAGGGTATTTATTTATTTAAAGAAATAAATTATGTAGCATTTTCAAATACATATTAAACAAATATTAATTCATTAGTACGTTATTTAATAGGATAATAATTTAATATCGTATGGTTTTGAGAAATTCGATAATTTTTAACCTGATCAAGATGCACAATATCGCATCATTTACTGTTAAATGATGCAATTGAACTCTATAAAGACAGTCTTGACTAGTAAAATTCTATTAATTTAACGAAATATTAAATTATCGAACTAATAATTTAGTAGGTTTTTACCAAATCGGAACCAGAAAAAATTATTATTTAAGCAAGGTTATTAATTTATCGAGATTTTAATGTACTAGAAGTTGAAGCTGAATTATTTTTAGCTTTAACTATTTAATGTACAAACAAAACACTTAGGAGTGTGGCACTTTATGTGTAGAATCAGATCAAAATAAATTTTATCTAAAAACAAATTCTAGAAGAAAGATCCTTCTCCTCCATAACCTAGTTGGACAAAACTTGACCACTTAATAAAAAAATAATAAATTCTGGATCAAATATATATATAATTAATGTAGAAGCCATAATGCCATAGTTTGTTATGGATTAATTAAAACACACACACACACACACATATATATATATATTAATTATGAATTACATAAGCCCATTAACCTCAATTATTAAATGATCATACATTAGGTGAAATGTCCAAATCTCACAACCAATTCCAACTCCAATAAAATAAAATAAAATAATATCAAGAAATAAATGGTAAAACAAAAAAAAAAAAAAAAAAAAAAAATTCCAACTTAATAAACAATTAATAAATAAATAAATGAACAAGACATATTCCCCACTCTGTACTTCATCTTTTGCTTACCAAACTATACTCACCAGCAGTAGTTACCACTTTGGACTCTTCCTTAAGCAAAACCAGCTCCACTTTTCCCCCTTTTCCCTGTCGGCAACCACCCCCCCCCCCCCCCCCACCCCCACCCCCACCCCCCACCCCACCCCACTCCTTAATCCATAGTCAAATGCTATAGTGGAAGAACACTGGTCTGAAGAAGAGATCAAACTGAGTCACTCAGTCACTCTCCTGCTTCTTCTTCTTCTTCTTCTTCTTCTTCTTCTTCTTCTTCTTCTTCTTCTTCTTCTCTTTACTGTGTGTTTGACTGTGTGTTTGACTGTGTGTTTTGGGGGGTTTCGATTTTAGAAGCAAATTAGGGAAAAAAACCCCACCCCCAATTGAGAAATGCAAGTCCAAGATCGGATTTTTCCGCCGTCCGATGGCTCGAAACCCCACAATCACCAATCCAGAAGCAAACACTTTCCGATTCACACCAAGAATCTCGATTTCTCGGCGTGGGCATCGGAGAATCTCTACAAGATCCTCACGATTCTCCTCCTCGTCGCCACCGTCGCCGCCCTATTCTACCTCCGCAACTACTCCTCCGCCGGCGGCGACGCGACGGCGCTGCTCTGCCTCCAGTCCACCCAGTCCCGCTTAATCCACCCCAAATTCCCCCGAATCAATTGGAATTCAATCGACCGCATTGCCGATAAATCAACCCCATTCTCCACCTTCCGATCGGAGAAATGGATCGTCGTTTCTGTTTCCGATTACCCATCCGATTCCCTCACGAAATTGACCAAAATCAAAGGGTGGCAATTGCTCGCGATTGGGAATTCCAGAACCCCAAAAGACTGGAAATTGAAAGGTACTGTTCTTACTTCGATCAGCTATTTTAGTTCTTGAGATCCCACGATTTAGATTTGTAAATTTATTTTAGTACCTAATTAAAGATGGGTTTTTTAATTTTTTCCAACAGGTGTCATTTATTTGTCATTGGACATGCAAGCTCAATTAGGGTTCCGAGTGGTCGATTTCTTGCCGTACGATTCCCACATACGGAAAAACGTCGGGTATTTGTTCGCAATACAGCACGGTGCTCAGAAGATCTACGATGCGGATGATCGGGGCAATGTGATAGACAACGATATAGGTAAGCATTTCGATGTTGAGCTTGTCGGCGAGAGTGCTAGACAAGAAGTTATCTTGCAATACAGTCACGAAAATCCCAACCGGACCATAGTGAACCCTTACGTACATTTCGGACAAAGGTCCGTTTGGCCGAGAGGGCTACCGTTGGAGAAAGTCGGGGAAATCTCACACGAGGAGTTCTACACCGAGATTTTCGGCGGGAAACAGTTCATACAGCAAGGGATTTCCAACGGATTGCCCGATGTGGATTCGGTTTTTTACTTCACGAGAAAAGCTAATTTGGAAGCGTTTGATATTCGGTTCGATGAAAAAGCACCTAAAGTGGCTCTACCTCAAGGAACGATGGTGCCGCTCAATTCTTTCAACACGCTTTTCCACACAGCTGCGTTTTGGGGTTTGATGCTTCCGGTTTCTGTTAGTACGATGGCTTCTGATGTGTTGAGAGGCTATTGGGCGCAGAGGATTTTGTGGGAAGTCGGGGGTTACGTTGTGGTGTACCCACCCACAGTGGATCGGTACGACAGAATCGAAGGGTACCCTTTTTCCGAGGAGAAAGATCTCCACGTGAACGTGGGCCGTTTGATCGATTTCTTGGTGGGGTGGAGATCGAACGAGCATAGATTGTTCGAGAAGATTTTGGAGCTGAGTTACGTAATGGCCGAGGAAGGGTTTTGGACGGAAAAAGACGTGAGATTTACCGCAGCTTGGCTTCAAGATTTGCTGGCGGTTGGTTATCAACAGCCTCGTTTGATGGCTCTTGAATTGGATCGGCCGAGGGGTACTATCGGGCACGGGGATCGAAAGGAGTTTGTGCCTCGGAAGTTGCCCTCGGTGCATCTTGGAGTTAATGAAATTGGGACTGTGAATTACGAAATCGGGAATTTGATTACGTGGAGGAAGAGTTTTGGGAATGTCGTACTTGTGATGTTTGTTAGTGGGCCGGTCGAGCGTACTGCGTTGGAGTGGAGGTTGCTTTACGGGAGGATATTTAAGACGGTTATTATATTGTCGAGGGAGAAGAATGTCGATCTTGTTGTGGAAGAAGGCCAGCTGGACTACGTGTACAAGTAAGCGACAACTTTTATCTGCTCTAATTTCAATCGACACTTTTATCGTGAAAAAAAATAATTGTCGCACTGCATCACTTTAGGGTAGATAACTGAATCGATACATCGGAATTTTCTAACGACAGTTTTCGAAAGTGTTACTATTGGAGGATATATGAACTTGTATTCGATTCTTTAGTTTCTGTATACATAATTTACTCGTTTTTTTCATATTTTCTCGACGCCTCATGTTTTCTAATGTAAAATATCCGACATTGTTATTTTCAGGTATTTACCGAAATTATTCGATAGATACACGAGCGCAGACGGGTTTATATTTCTTCAGGACGACACTGTTCTCAACTACTGGAACTTGCTCCAAGCAGACAAGTCTAAGCTTTGGGTCACAAACAAGGTACATACGAAGATAAATACGATGTCTGATTTTATTAATTCGATAAATATGAAAATAAATAAATATGACAATAAATGTGTAGGTATCAAAGTCTTGGACTACTGTCTCGATTTCCGGAAAATCCGATTGGTTCGCGAAGCAAGCAGAATCGGTGAACAAAGTGGTAGCCACAATGCCGGCGCATTTACAAGTCAACTATAAAGAAAGCGTAAAAGACGAGCAAATTCTCACAATATGCAATTCGGAAGTATTTTACATTCCTCGAAAATTTGTGTCCGATTTCGTCGATCTCGTCAGCCTAGTGGGCGAGATGGATATTCATCACAAAGTTGCGGTGCCGATGTTTTTTCTGGCAATGGACAACCCCCGAAATTTCGACTCGGTTTTTAATTCGATGAGATATAAGCAGAAGCTGCAAACTAATTCGACATCGTTTTATTCTCCGGAAGCTTCCGCAGTTCATCCGTGGAACGTTTCGAGCGAGCAAGATTTTATTAAATTGGTGAGAATTATGGCGGCAGGTGATCCACTGTTAATGGAGCTTGTTTGATTCGAAAAAAAAAAAAAGAACTTTATATAATGGAATTAGATAACATGTATACAGATTATTGACAGTTTTTATATACTGCAGAACTTTTTTTTTTTAATTCTTTAAGGCAAAATTTATTTGTAGATTTTTTTTTATTTTTTTTTTTAATTTTTGTAATTTTTTAATTTTTTTTTTATTTGGGAAAAACTTTTATTGATTTGTAGATTTCGCACAGAAACAGAATATTGAGAAGTATTCTTTGTTTCTGTACATTTTTTGCTCCTTTGGAATATGGAAAATTTTCATTGATAATTGTAATTTGTATATTATATATATAGCACTTAACTCCCCTGAGGTTTGAGTTTTATGCACACGAGCCCCCTATAGTTTGAATTTTGTGCACATATTCCCTTGTGCTTTTTATATAAGCACATAACCCCCTATTGTATTCCACTTAGTTAAATAATCGTGCTCATTGGGAAGAGGAAATTTTTTAAACTACAAGGGGGTTATGTGCCTATAATAAAATACAAGGGGGTCATGTGCTATATTGAAAGTATAAGGGGGTTATGTGCACAAAGTTCAAACCACAGGCGGTAAGTGCTATTTACCCTATTATATATGATATTCATATTGCTAGCATATGTGTATTTTGTTTTTTGATTTCCGCCGACTTTGATCCAAAACTTTCGATCTATAGTACTTTTCATTTAGAAAATCCGAAAATTTAGATGGCTGATTTTTTGAACTTTTTTTTTTTAATTTGAATTAGAATATATGTACATATATGATTTCGATTTTCAATCTGATTTTATTTTGCGAAATAATTCCGAAAATTACATTTACAACATCAATATGTATTTTACAATATATGCGAATAAAAAACGGAATGTCCGAATTCCCGGTGATTCCAATCCAAAATTTCCGATAAGCTTTTCATTCCAATTTTCGAACTTCCAGTTCTTCCAAAATTTATTGGATCGGAATTGGAATTAGTTTTTCACTTCCGAAAAAAAATGATATCTTTTTTTTTTTCTTTGAAAATGTTAATTTCTATCCGATTCATCCGATGATAACCTGACCAGTATCAATTAGACAATCAATAAGCAAATGCTGAAAATTTGAATTGATTTAAATCAGTATCTTACAATTTACAATGAAGAAAGAAAAAACCCCAACCAGCCATGCACAAATTATTCAGTCGGCAAATTGGTGAAAATTCTCAAACCCCCGTATTCATCGAAAGAGAGAGGTATGATCACTAATGTTATTTTCAGTCGGCATTAATTCGGAAAAAGAAAAAAAAAAAAAAGAAAACTAACGATCGACGCCTTCAATCTTGTCCTCCACTTCAGAGTAGAGCTGCTTCAATCTCTCGATATTTTCTTCGGAAGTTTCCCAGTACCCTCTTCCATTAGCCTCCAAGAACGTCTGGACCAACTTCCGGAAGGAATTAGGGTTTGTGCTCATGAGCCTGTTCAGCATTTCCTCGTCTTGTACGAAAGTTGTGTTTGCTTCTTCGTACACCCAATTGTCCACCTGTCCTGACGTGGCACTCCATCCAACGGTGTTTGTTAGCCGTTTCTCGATTTCGCGGACACCCTCGTAGCCACTCGATAGCATGCCCTCGTACCATTTTGGATTCAACAATTTCGTTCTTGCATCCAGACGAACGGTTTCCGAAAGTGTACGAACCTAAAATCATCAATAAAAAAATAAAAATTAGATAAGCTCATAAATATCAATTTGCTAAAAAAAATATCATCGTATGATGCGTTTTTAGGGGTAGTTTGCTAGTAAAATTGAATCATAGGGTGGATTTAGCTAATAATATAACATTTGGAGGTTTTTTGGCAATTAAAGTAAATATAGGGGGCTAAATGCAATAAAATTTAAATCTTATGCAAAGGTAGATGATACAAACTAGTAAAAGTTATCTAGGGTTAATCCTAATCTAAATTAAACATTAAGCCAAATTTTGTGCAATTTTTCGAACCAGAAGGATCTAATCGTAATAACATGTAAAAAAAGACGAGATTTTTTTTTTTTTTTTTTTTTACCTGAGCATTAGCAGTGGTGGTATCAGCAATGTAAGCACTAGGCTTCTTCCCATCCTTCCGAAGACCCTGCACGAGATTTGTGGGGTCCGAATCAAAGTAGTGACTGACATCTGTCAGTGAAATCTCTGACGAGTCGAGGTTCTGGAAGGTTGCGTCAGCAGTGCTGAGTGCCATCTCGAAGATCTTGCGCTTCTCCGTCATGCCGACACCTGGCGCATCCGAGTCGAACGCGAACGATTTCCGGCTCAAGTACATGTCCTGCAGCTGCTTCTCGTCGTTCCATGTGGAGTTTTCGACGGCTAGATTTACGTTCGAGGAGTAGGATCCTGATGCGTTCGAGAAGATTCTAGATGCAGCCTCGCGCACTTCGACTCCGAGTGTTTTGGCTTGTTCGAGGGCGTGTTTGCGGACGTAGTTCATGTCTTCGGGCTCGTCCAGCTCAGCGACCATTTTCACCGCCCGATCGAGGAGATTCATCTACACACATAGGAGGGATCGGATCGAAATTCAAACTTTTGGAAAATTTTCATTACTATTTTTGAAGTGAGAAACTAATCCCGATTCTGTTACGAAAACATTTCGAAAAAATCGAAAGTCTGAATTTCAGAAATTGGAATGAAGAAATTTATTCCGAAATCGGAAATTTTGGGATCAAAATTGGCGTGATTTCGAATTTCCATTTTTCTAGTAATCTATATTATAAAATACACATTGATATTATAAGTGTAATTCTTTGAAAAAAAAGTGGGATTTCAGAAATTAAAATCGGATTGAAAAGAGGAATCTAATACATTTTCTGAAAAAATCAAAAAAAAAAAAAAAAAATCGGAAATCGGAACCCTTATAGTGAAAATATTGTTCCAAAATCCAACATTTTCGGATGGGAATCGGCGGAATTTGGAATTTCTACATTTCTATTCACCTAATGATATAAAATAGGTAATGATATTGATATTGATATTATAAGTGTAATTTATGGAAGAAAAATAAATTGAAATTTTCGGAAATTTGAAAATATTTGGTGTCCGATTTCCGATTTTCGATCCCATTTTCCACCACTAACAATGGCGGAGCCACGATACGTCTAAGGGGGGCCACGGCCCCCTCCCCGTTTCTCAAAAACTACGTATTTTCATATAAAGATTTATAATTTTTCGTATAGGATAGCATTGTTACCTGGTTAATGAAGAGGTCCCGGAAAACACCCGAACAATTAACAACAACATCAACCCTCGGCCTTCCGAGCTCTTCAAGACTCACAATCTCAACCCGGTTAACTCGGCCAATAGTATCCGCCACCGGCTTAACACCGATCATCCACATCACCTGAGCAAGCGACTCACCGTACGTCTTAATATTATCCGTACCCCAAAGCACAAGCGCAACCGTCTCCGGATATTTCCCGCCAGTGTCCGCCTTCTGCCGCTCGAGCAACCTATCCACCACCACCATAGCACTCTGCATGGCGGCGGTTGTCGGAATCGACTGCGGGTCCAACGCATGGATATTCTTACCCGTCGGCAACACTTTAGGATTCCTGATCGGGTCGCCACCTGGCCCCGGCTCGACGTACTTCCCTTCTAACGCTTGCTTCAAACTACCCAACTCGTTATCCGCAACAATCAGCTTCAAGCACTCTCCCAAGAACTGGAACAATATTCGGAGCTTCTCTCTGTCGGCTCGGTAGAATTTCGTGTCCGACAAGTATTTGACCCACGGCTCGTTTATTCCGAAACCGAGAATCGAAGTCAACTTATTACCAACACCGACAACTTGTCCTTTCTCGTTTGTGGATTGCTCCACGAACGAATAAACCGCTCCACGAGACGCTTCGGTTATTTGTTTGAGAAGCTCCACGTCTTTTAAAATACCCTTGTCACTCCCTCGGTATACGTCTTCGATTTCTCTTCCGAGCGTTTGAGACAAAATAGTCGGGAGAGAGAAGATTCCCTCCTCTGGCCGGTCCAATGCCGCTATGTTGACCAATGTGGCAACCGCCTCCATCGCCGACGGCGGCTCGCCGATGACGTGGAGCCCGCACGGGAGTAGACGTGACTCGATCTCCATAATCTTGGAATACACCTTTCCGACGACGAGATCCCTTTCGCTGGCCGACAGCTCAGCACCATCTTCCGGAAGGTCAACATCTTTGTCGAGGTTGCACTGCCTAGCGGTACTAACAATCGAGCTCACGATTTGCGCGCCCCGCCCACTGTCTTTCAACGATTGGTACGATGAGATAAGCTCGCCGAGCTGCTTCAACCCTTTGTAGAGGCCGGCGTTTTCCGCCGGAGGGGTGAGGTAGCTAATGGTGTTGGCGTAGCTCCGCCGCTTGGCAATGGTGGCCTCCGACGGGTTGTTGGCGGCGTAGTAGTAAACATTCGGTATGTTTCCGATGAGACTATCCGGGAAGCAAGCGTCGCTCATTCCGACTTGTTTTCCGGGCATGAACTCGAGAGAGCCGTGGGTACCGAAATGAAGAACCGCGTCAGCTTTAAAAATCTTCTCCACGTAGGAATAGTAGGCGGCAAAGCCATGGTGGGGGCTGGCGGACTTGGAGAAGAGCAACCGCATGGGGTCACCTTCGTAGCCGAAAGTCGGCTGAACTCCGATAAATACATTGCCGTACTGTTTGCCGTACACGAGGAGGTTTTCTCCGTCGGAGTTGAGGTTGCCGGGGGGTTTGCCCCAGTTCTCTTCGAGGGCGGTGGAGTAGGTGGTGAGTTTTTGGTACTCGCGTACGCCCATTTTGTAGGCGATGTTGAGATTAGGGCTGTTGAATTGGGCCTCCTTGTCGTGAATTACGTCTTCGATTAGGGCTTCGGCAGTTTCCGGAAGGTTCTCAACGAAGTAGCCGTCGTTTTTTAGCTCTTTTAGGACGGAGTAGATTGAGGCGAAGACGTTTAGGTACGCGGCGGTCCCGACGTTGCCTTTGTCTGGCGGGAAGCTGAATACGGTGATCGCTACTCTCTTCTCTGTCTGCATATCATTCGAGTTTGACACATTTTTATCAGCAAAAACGAAAGAATATTGAACTATCCTAATTTAATGAATGATGCATGGGTTTCTTCATCCATTTTTTTTCTTTTTTTTTTGGATCGGACCGGAATTAGCACTGTCGGAAGAAGTGAAAAAAATAATTCCAATTCCATTCCCAAAAAATCGAAAAAATTGGAAAGAAAAAAAACCGGTACAAAATCGGGAATTTTCGGGTTGGAATCGGTGGAATTCAAAAATTCCAATTATTCGTCACACTCGCACCTAAGATATAAAATGCATAACAATATTGATACTATACATGTAATTTTTGGACGAAAAACAACATTTTCGGAAACTGGGATCGAAAATCGTAAACTCGTATATATTCCAATTCCGATCCAAAACATTCTGAAAAAAAAAATCGGGATCGCAATTTTTGATTAAAAAAGAAAAATTGTTCCAAAATCGGGAACTTTCGGGTTAGAATTGGTGCAAATCGGAAATTCCGTTCCAATTTCCTCATCAAGATTCTCGATAATTTAGCAAATTACATCGATTATTTTACGAGTTTCAGTAAGTGTTTAAGTTTTACCTTAGTTTTCCTCCTCAGTTTACCCCAGTTGATAGCTCTGGTACAGAGCTGCTCCACCCTCTTATGAAGCGCGTGCGATTTCCCTGCAAATCAACGAACATACAATATCGAGTTCATCAATGCACTAAAACAAGAATTTTGTAACACAAGATCGAGAAATTTCTACTTATTCGACTCACCAGTTCTCGGATCACGGCCAGCGAATATAATCGGCTCCATTCCACCGTCAAGCTCAGGCAGCGCCACCTGTAACGCCACCTGGATCGGGTGAAGACCCAACGTACTGTTCAACCACTCCTCGGTTGTCTGGAAAACCAAAGGCAACGCCACTATATAAGGCACGTCGAGCTTCATCAAAGCCTCGATCGCCCTCGGGTGGTCCTGCCTGGCGGGCCCGCCCACGAGAGCGAAACCCGTCAAGGAAACAACCGAATTTATCATCGGCTTCTTCGTAACCGGGTCGATAAAGTACTTCTCAACGGGGCCCGAGAAATCCAACCCGCCCGCGAAAATGGGAATCACCTTCGCCCCCCTCGCCTCCATCTCCATTATCACCGCCACGTAGTGGCTCTCGTCACCGGTCACAATGTGACTCCTCTGCAAAATGAGTCCGATAATCGGAGCGTCTTTGCTCTTGAGACTCTCGTTCGTGTCTCTCCGAGTATCGTACCAATTCAAATACTCCTTTACGTCATCGTACATACGCGGAGCCAACGGGTGCCAGATTCCGGTATCCAAGAACAAAACCGGGTCGGAATATTCCATCTTCATCCCCTTTAAGGCCGGCACGTACGACCCGGACACCATTTTCAAGAAGTTGCCGAGATTATCGGGCGAACCGCCGAGCCAAAACTGCAAACTGAGAATGTACATTCTTGCATCCTGCGCCTTATCGCTCGGCAAGTACTTCAAAACCTTCGGCAGTGTTTGTACAAGCTTCAGCATCGAATCGGCGAAACCCGCCGACGACGAGGATTTGTTCTTTTTGAAGAGCTGGAAAAACGGGCTTTTTGATTGGCCTAACTGAGCCATCGAGAACGAGCCGAGCTTGTTGAGCCGCATTACTTCCGGCATCGAAGGGAACACCAGCACCGCATCCATTCGATCCCTTTCTTTCTCCACGGCGGCTTTCACTTTCAGCGCCAACTCCTCCACGAAAATCAACGAGCCGATGAAGATGTTCGCGTCTTCGAGATCCTTACAGAAGGATTTGTATGCGTTGACATCTCTGAGCTCCTCAACCAGGTACCCGACAACCTCGTACGAGGCGAGCTCGCCAGTTCGGTTGAGTTCTTGAACGGCGGCGGTGAGGGAGGACTGGTACTGGGCTTCGAGGACGACGTAGACGATTTTCACGGTGGGGAGGCCCATGGGGTTTTCCGGCACGACGCGGCGGACTTCTTGGGTGGTTTGGGTGAACAGCCCGTTGCCGACGATGGCGGCGCATTTGAATTTCTTCTGGGTGTTTTTGGAGTTGGGTTTCTTGGGGAGGAACGAGTGGAGGAGGCGGTGCTTTTGTGAAATTGAAGATAGGTTTTCGATTTTTGATTTGGGTAATGTAAATGGCGATGAAACCAAAGACGCCATTGTTGCACTCGAAGAAAAGAACTCGATAAAAATGTGTTCTTGAAATTTATATTACACGATAATTGAAGATATTTACTTGGAGAAGAGAACACGCAGTATGTACACAAGAGAGATACAGAAGGCAATTTAATGTACCTTCTTCTTCTTCAAACCAACTTCCCTCTGCTGCTGATGCAGCTGTTCTTTGAAGTTTCTCTCTCTACTTTTCTGCAGAAAGTGAGGAGTGTTCTTTATTTTATATAAATGAAGAGAAGAGTTTGGTTTTTTCAGTTAATGGTTTAGCAGGGGGACACGTGTCAACAATGAGAGCTTGAGGCTGAGTTTTGCTTCATGTCATTCTAGTGAGAGAGAGAGAGAGAGAGAGAGCGAGGGAGAGAGAGGGGAAGAGGAGGAGAGAGAGAGTGTGTAATTTGTACTTTTTATCAGTTGGATGAATATTGGTGAGCTGTGATTGGTTGGTTTGGATTTCCGGGGGAATAAGAGAGAAGGAGAGGGAGTGTGGATGATGATAGAGGAGTGAGAAGATAGAGTGTTGAGATTTTCCCTTTTTTTTTTAAATAAATATTTATTTTGTTTTTAGACAATGTAAAATAAAGATTTAATTTTTATTGGGAGGTTGTGACCCTTGTTGAAAAGGGATTGATATTTATTTGTGTGCACTTCAATGGGTCCAAGTATCCCACTTTCACACCAGAGGATGATCATCATCTTATTACACATGAACTAAAATACAAAAGTTCAAAACAATACAAAAAATAATCAGTGTGTGTGTGTGTGTGTGTGTGTGTGTGTGTGTGTGTTGAGCACACAAAATCAGTGTAATTTACTTATTATTTGATGGAGAACTACTTTTCTTGAATTTTTTTTTTTTTTTTTTGGCATAAATTGGGCACTTTTCAAGAACTTCACAATACATATTTTGTGAAAACAACTCTAGTTTCTTCTTATTTCTGCTAGAGATGGTCTGACGGTTGGAGCAAACGAGCATGTGTCAATTGACTCACGTTCGAATCATATTTCAAATGGTCGTTAGGTGGAGCTTGTCATATATAATTAGTATTGTGGTTTAGGTCTCTCATATAGTTTACAAGTTATTATACGAGAATGTATATTTACCCATTGTTCCTATATGGTTGGTTGTGTGTTGCTTTCCTCATTTCTATTATGCAAGAAAACAACTTAGCTTCAATATGTGGCATTAGTAGGGGTTAAATCTGATGAATTGGATTGAAATTGGAACAAAGGGAGAAAAAAGAAATCGAAAATAAAAACCTAATTTCAACTGAAAAAATTGGGATAAAAAAACTTTTTCAAGAATTGAAAATTTTCAAATCATAATCGACGGAAAATAAAAATTCCATTTTATTATACGCTTATAATATAAAATACATAATAGTATTATTTGTATTTTAAGAGTAATTTTCAGGGGGGGAATATTTTTCGGAATTATTTTTAAAAATTGGAAATCGAAACCTCGTTTATAATCCAACTCTAATAAAATAAAAACCCAAAAATAGGAAATTAGAACTCGAGACGAAAAAAATTGTTCCAAAATCGGATTTTTTTAATCGGGCCCATAATAACTACACATCGGCCCGTTGATCATATTTGTTTAAGCCCAATAAATATTACAGGCCCAAATTATTATATTTGTTTGAGGCCCGTTGCCAAAATATTCATAAAACCCTCTCAAATAAAACCCTCTCAAATTTCACTTCCATTTAAAAGTTTTAGCAAAATATGGCTTGCAATTCCGGTACCTGCCAATCCGGTTCCTGCAGAGACGAATTTTCCGCCGGCGAAGACGGCCGGAAGCAACGGCCGGTGCCGGAAATTGGAAATGGTTCCGATCACGCTTCGCCACGCCGCGGCGAATCCATTGCTGAAGGCGTCTGCATCAAGTGCAAGGTTAACGGAACCATCGCAACCACCCACCCTGCTATTACCGGAAGCGGCGGCGACGCCGGGAGATTCTGTGCCGATTGCTTCCGGAGTAATTTATTTGGCAAATTTCGGTTCGCCGTCACTTCGAACGCTATGATTTCGCCTACTGATAATGTTCTGGTCGCATTCTCCGGCGGTTCTTCCTCTAGGTATTGTTTTTTTTTTTTTTTTTTTTTGGTGTACTTTTAAATCTCTCTGCATATATTTGCTCAAGTTTGATTTTCCTTGTTTAATTTGTGAAATATGAGGTTGAGTTTGAATTCATTTGATGTTTAGCAACATCTGAATTGGTTTAGCTCATTTAATTTTCTGCAAGCTTCGGCCATTTTTATTGCTCGTTTCGTATTGTTACCAATTAAGGAACAAGGTCGAGTGTGAAATGCGTTTGAGATTTCGATTGGTTAACTGATTTACACTTTTAGGGCTTTTGTTACTTTCTTCTAGATTGACAAATGTGAGTGAGAAATAATCCGAAAATCATTCCATCCTTTGAAATTTTAGTTCCCGTGATGTTTTTTTCCAACACGTTCGGTTATATTCAGGGTGGCTCTTCAATTTGTTCACGAGATGCAACAAAAAGCACAGAAGAATTTCGATGCAACAAAAAGCACAGAAAGGGTGTTGCCAGTATTCAGAGTTGGGGTAGCTTATATTGATGAAACCACCGTTTATCCTGTACCGTCGAATGACTTCGATAGAGCGGTCAACGAAATGGAACTCATTGTGTCGAGTTTAGCTCCACCGGAAAAACAATTTTTTGTTGTTCCAACTGAAAGTATTTATTCAACTGATTTTACTGCCGAGAGAGACCGACTGACCAAGTTAGTTGATGCTGTCAGCGACGTCACTGGAAAACAAGATCTCATGAAGCACCTTCGCATGTCATGTTTGCAAAAGGTTTGCCTCTATATTACTTGCTTAAATAGACAGATATACACTAATTTTTTTTCGAGAGTCGTAATAGTACACTACTTGAAACAAATCGTTGTATAAAATAGTAGATTTCTGAAAAACAATTGGGGGGCCATGGCCTCCTCCCTGGCGTAGCTCCGCCACTAAGATGAAGGACGAGTGGAATTGATTTTCAATGTGTTGTATTCTCTCTGCAGGCTGCTTATGAAAACGGATACACCAAGATTGTTATGGGAACATGCACATCTCAGATAGCATGTCATGTCCTTGAAGCAACTGTCAAGGTTAACACACACACACACACACACACACACACACACACACTAAAAAAACACTGTGATAAGTTAATCTGTTAAGGAAGAAGGCAGCAAAATATCTAAGCTATTTATATAATGTTTTACCAGGGGCAGGGATTCTCTTTAGCTGCAGATATACAGTATGTTGATGCAAGGTGGAAAATACCGGTTGTGCTTCCTCTTAGAGACTGTCCGTCTGAGGAGTTGAATATGTTATGCAGTTTGGACAGGTTTGTTGAAGAAAATGTCATGAGATCTTCCCTAAATACTGAACTGGTGTCGGATTTATGTGCATAATTTTCTATTAGTAAATTAATGTTTTTTATACTGAGATTATGATGGGCCTCGTATCTCTTTCGTCAGGGCAGTTTAAAGACTGTGGAATCATTAGAGCAACCTCGTTCTGGCATTAATGGGTTGATATCCTCGTTCGTGAAATTATTACAGGTACGTACAAGGGTATTAAGGAAAAGATTGAAAAGGATTGTCTAAGGCTAAGAATAAATATTTGAACATATCTATGCACACATTGGTTATGGATGAATACAACTTCATAACAGATAATGGAAGTCATAAGTATAGAAAATGTTGCAATAATTTTGTTGTCTTCGCAGGTTGAGAACCCTTCACGAGAAAGCACAATCGTAAGGACAGCTGGCAAGCTCACACCGTTCAGTTTCAACACGGCTCCTGAAGTTGGTGATGTCACCACTCATTTAGCTTCTAAGAGGCGGCAAAAGAAATACAACTTAAAACCCGATGAATCTCTTCCCACAGAATCTTTCTGCCTTATATGCAACAGCCCACTGAAGAAAACCAACGATTTTCACCACGGTGAAACACATGCTGAAATTTATTCCGGTACATGCTCCAGTTGCCAGTTCCAGATTCTTCCAAAGGATAATTCATCGATGGAGTACTTTTGTTCGCTGCTTCCTCAGTCTATGACAACCCTGCCTAAGTATACTAATGACAACCAAAAGCTGTTACGGTAATCTTCTATACATCAAGAAACTAGTCAATTAATTCGATTATTATCTCTTCTAAACTTTATTTCTATTTGATTTTGGACAGGGAGCAAATACAAGATTGTTTGTTGTCGGAGAGTGATGATGGGACATCGTGATTTAATCAGCCTCGTTCGATTTGTACCATGTTCACTGCTGGAATCTGGTTAGGAGAGTGTTTATTTTCGTGCGATTTTATTGTGTTATAGATGGTTATGTATACGTAACCATATTTATTCATAAGGAAGATCTTAGAACTATACCGAAAAACAATTTTGACGATATTACACCTACGTCTTGTTTGGTTATTAGTTTTTACATATAATATGTATTATCAAGCAAATTATTGCACTACAAAATAAGATCCGTGCTGCATTAAAGGATTCATATTGAAGTCCGATTCAATCATCTTCATACAGTTACTAAGATTAACGAGCAGTATGCATCTTTACTGAACTTCAGACGAGCAGTATCGCAAAATTAAAAATGCACTCGAAGTTCACATACGTTGATCCAAAAATAAAAATCTCGACTATACTCCAATCGGTCTGCATGATTTTCGTCGAATTATCAAGAAATCCGAGAGAACAATTCCTCTAATTGGCTTTCACCCACTAGCACACCAAGCTTTTGAGTCAGTAGTGTATCTACCGTATCATCTCCAATGCTTTTTACGGTATCGAGAGACGACATCTCCATGTACTCGTTCAAGTTGTGAACGGTCCCATCTGTAGTAACGAGATACGGTTATTCTGACAACAACTTTTACGGAAAAAAACAAATTTGCTAAGAATAAAGAATTGCAAATTAATTTTCTAAGATGAACAATTTTATTTAAAACGAAGTCGTGATCTTCTAGAGGGGATCAACAAGAATAAGTTATATGGAGTGGAAAAACGAAATTTAATGAAATAACTGTTACCTTCAGCAACAATTACTTCGTATGATGGTGGTGGAGAATTCCAGTTTCCTTCAGAATCTTTCATGTGTCTTCTATCAGACGCAAAATATTTCTGAAATATCGGTGCATGAACAATTCGGAAGACCCTGAAATTACCAAACTGACCTTTTATCGAACAAAAAACAAATTTGCTCGTAATTATTAACATGCTGTTTTTCAGTCAATTCATGTCGTGCAAATGTACCTTTGCAATAAACATTTGTTCCCAACACGAGTTAATATGCACCTACGGCATCAAGAATATATTTCTTCAGACAGAATTTAAGGATTACCTATTAAACTCGGAGAACAGCTGAAACGAAGGGCGAATAGTTTCTGCTACATACGTAGCTAGTGGAGAAGGAAAAGGAAGAGTCGAGTCCAAATCCCACACGAGATGAGGCAAACTTTTTTCTTTTCTTTTCTGCAAATTCGGCACCATGAAAATGAAAGTACATTTATTCGACAGAAAATCACATCATTGTCAACAAAACGATAGAATAGAGATTCTTACCTGTACACAGATCACGTGATAATCCCAGATAACTACACCATCTGCTCTGTGGCTTGCCTTCTGATTCCACAGTGGTATCTGGTAAAACGTAATCGATTTGAATCCTCGTTTTATCAATCTCATCACTAAACTCGCTAGTTTTCTTTAACCAAAATTTCAAGAAATTAGAGTCAAGGTTTAACATTGACCAAATTTACTTGCCTGTTTTTTCTCATTGGAAATGAAAACCGCAAATAGATCGGAACCATCCGATTTCGCTATCCCGTTTTCACGCAGTTTCTTGCAGAGCAAGTATACATTCTCCTCGCTAGCAAAATAACAAAGACACAAAAATTCGAAGGTTTTAATATTGAAGTTTCAAGAAAGATTCCAAGACCATTAAATCCATCAGCCAAAATAAGATCACTGTTAAAACACACACACACACACACACACACACACACACACACATAATCCAAGACCATTAAATCCATCAACCAAAATAAAATCACTGTTAAAACACACACACTCACACACACACACACACACATAATCCAAGACCATTAAATCCATCAACCAAAATAAAATCACTGTTAAAAATCACACACACTCACACACACACACACATAAACATAATCCAAGACCATGAAATCCATCAACCAAAATAAAATCACACGCACACACATACACACAAACAGACACATAATCAATTCCATCTACACAGATGAAGCATTAATAGCTGATCAGAAAAGACATTTGACCATATCTCGATTGCATTTCCAGCCAATAAATCCATCAACGAATTCAAAATCCAAGATCAACCCAGAAAATTAAACAACAAACAAAAGCAAATCAGCAAAAATGGCAAGAACAAATAACACCCAGAAAAAAAACGGTAAAAAAAAAGTCACATGATGAATTTTACCAGTAATAAGGGGTGTGATTGTAAGGAGAAACTCCCACAGGAGGGTTAGTAGCTAACGACGATGATGAAGATGAAGAAGAAGCGTCCAAATTCGAATTCGCCATCTTTGAAATATGTATTTTCTTAATTTTCCACTAAAATTTCTATTAATTACAATGAAATGGGCTTCAGTTTTAGGCTAGGGTAAAATCGTAAAAAAGCCCACAGACTGTTTTTACCATTTAGCCCTCTTCGATGATTCAATAGAAGCCCAATGGACTCGCCTGGAGAATCCGCCTCCTCCTCCTCCTCCTCCGGCGAGCGGCGGCGAACATGCACCACTGGATGCGGTCGTCCTATGAGCGTTTGCCTCTGCCACACCCTCCCTACAAATCCGCTCCCCACCGCCACGAAGATCGTCATCCTCCACCACCCACACGAGCGCCGCCACAAGCTCGCCACCGTGCCCCTCCTCCCCAAGTGCCTCCAGAACTGCGAAATCATCGTCGGCCGTAAGCTCAAGTACGGAAAATCGGAGCTTCTCGATTCGCTCCACGATCAGCACTGTGAAAACCCCAATTTGCCCCTCGGTCGAGCTCTTTATCTCTTCCCTGGTATGATGAATATGGTAGCTGCTGCGATTTCACTGTTGTATGTACCTTGTGCATTGCGACTTGTACCTTGCTACCTTATATGAAAAAAATTACAGTTCTCACCCCTCAAGTTTGCACTGATTACACATTTGGTCCATGTCCACAAGAAAACACATTCCTCGTGTTTCAAAAATTCAACACTTTTAGTCCTTATCTTCAATTTTCTGTTAGTACTAGCGGAATCAAGCGTGTGCCCATGACTGCCTTGACTGACGAACTAACAATAAATTGACAGAAATAAACAAAAATGTTTAATTATTGAAACACGAGGGATCAAATGTATTTGTTTGTGAACGTGAGGGACCAAATATGAAATCGGTGCAAACTTGAAAGATGAAAACTGTAATTGTCCCGGTAATAATACGAATATGTGTCTCAATTGATCTACCAGCACAAATTCACAACCACAGCTTCTTTATGATGCAAAAATCGAAATTTTGGTGGACAATAGTTTTAACTATTACTTTCTATAGGTCCAAACGCCTTGCCATTGGTCGAAGCCAATCGAGTGTATTCCTCCTTTGATGACGTCAGCAAAGACGATCTCGTCCTAATCGTTTTCGACGGGACTTGGAAGCACGCAAAGGAAATGGTGCTTGCAAGTATCCCGTTTTTATCCAAATTCGCCGTCCAAGTTTGTTTGGATTTCGATGCTGGTATTAAGGGTGGAACTATTTTCGACTCGGAATTGATTCTGAGAAAAGAACCGTTTGGCGGTTGTGTGAGTACAATGGAGGCTGTTGCCAGGTGTCTTCGAGTACTCGAGCCGAATAACGGTGTCGATATTGAGTCGAGGGTGATTGAGGTTTTGAGAGCTATGGTTAGCTTCCAAGCTTGCTTTTTGAAACCAAGAACCGAAAACGATTGAAATTTATCGAGTTTTCGACTCGTGACAAATTTATTTACATCTCAGTTTCTTTAGGGTGGTGGGGGTCCTGGCCCCCCCTCATTTGCTTTTTTATCCTTTTGTACCTATGCTAAGTTTGCCTGCCTTAGATTGGCCTCCATGTACTACTGTTCACTTGGTGAAGAAAGTTAATCACTGTTTTGTTGCCTCTTTTTGTACATTGATATTTTTAGAAGCGGACAATTGCAGTTTTTGTCCCTCGAGTTTGGACCGATTTTGCATTTGGTCCCCCATGTTCACAAAATACACATTTGGCCCTCTCATGTTTAAAATTTCAGCACTTTTAGTCATTTCCATCAATTTTCTGTTAGTACTAACGGAATCAACCGTGTGTCCGTCACTACCTTAACTGACGACTAGCAGTAAATTGATGGAAATGACCAAAAGTTAAATTATTAAAACATGATGGGCCATATGTGGAATTAGTGCAAACTTGAGGGTGAAAAACTTTAATTTTTCCGTTAAAAGAGTTTATGGGTAATCTTTTGGGATTAATTTTGAAAATTAAAATCGGATCATATTTCAATTATATTTCAATTTTGATCAAATTCTATGTTAAGAAAAATGGAAATTGAAACATGATAAAAATAGGAAAAATACAATTTTGGACCCTCAAGTTTGAACTAATTTTATATTTAAGCCCCATATTTACAAAAAATACATTTGATCCATCATGTTTCAAAAAGTCAACGTTTATAGTTATTTCTGTCAATTTTGCATAAGTACTAACGGAATCAAACATGTACCCATCACTTCCTTAACTGATAGAATAACTGTAAATTGACGAAAACGACAAAAATGTTAAATTATTGAAACATAAGGGATCGAATGTGTTTTTTGTGAACATGGGAGACCAAATGTGAAATCACTGCAAACTTGCAGGGTGAAACTGTAATTTTCCCAAATAAAAATATACTAGCAAATTCGGTCAAATTCGATTTTCAGTCTAAAATTGAGGTCAAAATGTTAATAATTAAAATATTAAAAGTGGTCAAATAAAAGATTAATTTGCAGGTCTTTTGTTTGTTTTCTTTGGAAACGTCATTTTCAATTGGGCCTCCCACTCTCAGTATCCGGTCCACCGACCAAACCGGCTTTCCTTTGTATTTAGCCCACCATTCCATAATTTAAAATACTTCATTTTCTTTATCCAATCTATAATTTTCAATGATAAATCAAATAAAATTAATGTGACGTAATATATGGATTAATGATGCAATAAATCTAGATATAATTAGTAAATCTTAATCGGTTTATAATCTCTTATTAATAGAATTGAACTATTAATTAATGACCTTGTAGATGCGTCGGGCCTTTTGAATGATCAAAAAACTCATTGGTTTATTGAGTCGGCACAATAAGGCATATAGTAGGCAGATATAGGAAAAACAATTTATATTAAGAAAATAATAGAACTAGTATTATAATGAGGATCAAAGAATTAAAAAATGAAATAAATCAAATACAAGCCAAATATAAGAAAAAGGAAAATTTATTAAAAAAAAAAGAGATAAGGAAAAAGAAAAGAAGCAACAAGACTCGTGCAATTCTATTCATTATTTACTATTTTTGTCTCTCTAAAATTCTATTTATTTTATATCTATCTATACACGTGTATTTCCGGTCACCGATAAAATTCATCCAATGTAGCATAGAACAAATCGAATTTTTTATGTGTATATTTCACACATTCTTGATTTTTGGGTATATACTACTGTCTGACAAAGACTATAACAAATTTTCTTCGTGAAATCTCAAAAGCCCCAAAAAGTTTAAAAAGTTAATAATAATTAATAATTAATAAAATAATGAACAAATAAAAAAGAAAAAGAAGGAAAGAATTTTTTTACATCCCATAATACCTTGCAGCAATTATTTCATTTCCCCTTTTCTCTCTTAAAAAAAATAAAATAAATATTTATTCTCTCCCTCTGTTACTTTTCTTTTCATTTGCCAGCTCTGCATGCTTTCTCTCTCCTCCCTATAAACCTCTCTTTTTTGTTTTTCTATACTTTCTCTCTCTAAAAAAACTACCTTTTATCAATTTCGTGAAGAAAAAAAAGGATAGAATTGAAGAGATCTCCCAAAGGTTTGTTGATTGAATTTATGCGTGCTATTGCTCGTTCTAGATCCATTTTCCAGTATTTTTTTCTACCTGGGGGTCGTGAATTCGTTGTTTGTTATTGGATATAATTTCGTATTGATCTGAGGTATTATCGTTATTTATGGGATGGGCTTTGCTTAATTATTGTTAATTTTTGATTAATTGAGCTAATTAGAGGAATGATCTGAAGATATTGCATATTTTGACATCAGAATTTGCTATTGTTGAATAATCAACCATTTGGCATATGGATTGCTTGAAATTTGATTTTTTTATGCACCAGGATTCTATTATATGTTTATTGTTTTTTTTTTTCATTGGGTAAATAGGTTTCTCTAATGATGATTTTAATTTTTAAATGGGAACATCGATTATTGAAATGAACGGGGGCTTTATTCTGGTGGTGGAACTGAATTTCTGATGTTTTTATATATTAAAAATTGTACCTCGAGTAATATGTTAATTGGGTTTCGAGATTTATGAATGTATTTTGAAATGGTTGATCCTGATCCTGCACTAGCTGTGGTGATCAGCATTGTTTGAGTACCGGCTCTAAATTGTTTGATAATGGGTCGTATAGTTGGTATCCTGCTGTTGGATATGTAATGCTTAGGATTTTTTTCTTCGTTAGAACAAATTATTTAACATCAATTATATTTTTGGGGAGCTTATACCATTCCCAAATTAGATGTGTTTGTTGTACACGGTGAGATGTGTTGAGGCAATTTCTGCTCCAAAACGGAATTGGAGGACATTTAACCGGATAATGCGTGATGGACCATTAGAATATGGCATAGCCACATTGAAGGCTGAATATTTTTTTCTTGAATATGGGGCTTTCTATCACATACGGTGATTCTTGAGTGGATTTTAGTACGTTGGATGGTGCGTAAGCATATTCGTGCATGTCACAGCTTTGGCTTATTTGTCTATCTTCAAGAAGAAAATGAAAACCTTGTTGCGAATAGATACTAACCATGCATTGTACCATGAATCCGTCTTTCACTCCAAGACACCAACTAGTGTTTTGTTCTCCACTTTAGACTAGCTAGAGAACTGCTAACTGAGGGATTCATTTGTTTTAGAGTAGTTTTAGACTCTTTACCGCATCCAGAAGCGAACATGAGTGGCATCGATTAGCCAGTTTTTGAAATGTTCTATTATCTTATTTCTGAAGCATTTTGCTTGTGGAAACTAGGTCACCTGCTGGATTACAAGGACTAAAAAATTTATACCTGGTCTTGGGATTCAGTTCTGGTAATTGCATTTGAGAAAATGTCCTATTAGCTTACAAAGTTGGATGAATATTGCCTAAACATATAGTTCAGACACAAACTATTTCAAAGCAGATTCTGGCTGCTGACTAGAGTTTGTCTTATTATTTGTAATATAAAAAACCAAAGGAGTGTAAAGGGCAATATAAAATACTGTGAAATATAATCATTCTCTGTGATAGGGTCCAGATCACACTACAGCTTATGAGTTTTCCAGTTTTTATCAGTGAAGATAGATTATTATATTAATTTATTTATTCGTTTTTTTTTTTTTGCGATTGGTCATATTACATTGTGTGCTTTAGCTGCATGATTAGTCATGTTATTTTTCTCAAATATGAGCAGTACAAATTACTGCGTACTTTTTAACCTTAAAAATGATGATGTGGATTATTCTTCCCTATGCATACTCTGTTTT